TTAAACCTGCACGACTTGTTGGAGGTTACCTGAATATGTTTTGCTGCTTGTTACTTTGAAGAAGTAAGCAGTCTACACAAAGCTATGACTTATACATAATTTATTGCTGGCTTTGCAAAATCAATTAGATCAACAATATGTGCTTTGTACCAATGTAGCATAGTTCAAAAGTTAATTTTATCTTCACATTTAAACAGCCAACTAAGTGTATTAAGGATATGGTTTTGCATTTGATAATCCCCTTGTTCAACGATTTTAATTGCTTTATTCTATTATCTAATATGACCAATAATCATAATAAATATGACCAAATTACTTCAAGTTAAGTAAATTCAGGTTTGACCGAAGTTCCATCATAACAACAACTCAGATCTACATATTTTCAAGCATTTAAATAATTACATTAAGAAAAATCAAAAGTAACGGCAGATGATAGCTATTTGCAACAAAGCAGAAGACAAGCTCAACAAATACAGACATTTATTGAATAAGTTCATGAAATTTCTTACGAAGTTCAAATCAGAAGGTTTTAAATGCAGAGAAACAATTATTGATGCTATTGATATATTAAGATGAATCATTGTAAATTAATTTTGAAACAATAATGGAAGTTGCAAGATAAACATGTCTTATATAGCATTAAGATGTCACAAGATCACAATTTTGAATGTCGTGAGATTCCCAAATGACTTTCACATTAATAAACTGCAATGAATACTAAGGTATACTGTACTACCGGAGTCAGAATAAGACAATTTCCATTGCATTGGCTACAAGAATTATCTTTTAAACAGCTCAAATTACGACTAGGAGATCAGCATTTTAACTATATCAGAGATAGTAGTTTCTCGGCTTGCGATGAGCAACTTATAATGAATCGATACATAAAGGTTTCTATCACTTGTTGGTTACTATGGTGCTTTAAAACTTCACACAAGAAACTCAGTTGATAATATATTATAATATGTCAGCAGAAGCAGAATTTTCATATAACATAATCAGTTCCTGAAAATCAAGTATTAACCTCAAGAAGATGAAGTTGTCAGATCTAATTGTGAAAAAAGTTCTTTCTTAAACTTATTAAGGACTAAAAGTAATACTTAACAATGGTTAAAATGAGTTTTTAACCTAGCATAGAGTCATCTACTGTACTGAAAATCTTAGTACATTTATTGGTAGTGTAAAAAAATGGATAAAATTTAAGAGGAGGTGAGGAATATGTAAAGGAAAATGATAATAAGTGTTGGGAGAATTAGAGAAGTGAAGTGCAAAGATTATGAGTTGACAGATTTTATTAGCAAGAGCATCGACAGGTACTCTAAGCTGCAATCTCTATCATCAAAATTACATATTTAGCTAGTATAGGTTCACTTTTAACTATAGTCAAAACAACTTCTTTTGTTATTCGATTTTCATTAAATCATTGCAGAAAAAATCTTCAATCAAAGATCCATGTTTAATTGATTGATTAAACAATAGAGGTATAAAATTGGCAGAAGTTAATTCCAATCAGATTTCAAAGCAGGTAAAAATAATGAACTGTAATCACAGTGTCCAATCAAACTATTCGCATAAAGTGGTTACAGTTACATTCTGAAATTCATTAAATAACTTGTAACCAGAAACAAGAATTAAGAGATTCAGCGTTAGTTTTTGGATGTGACTGAATTGTAAAATTGATTTGCAAAGTTTCTATCTGATACATGAAGTAAAAGAGCAGCTTTGCATTCTTCTAATATAAAATGCAAAGTTGTTTGAAAATTATAATAATTACTATTGTAAACAAGAATGCAATTTTTTGTAAATGGAACTGACAATTTTTCAATATATTTACTGAAATTTTTAAAATATGTTGCTGATTACACGAAAGAGGATCGAGTAAAAGTTCATTAATACTCAATTTACTACAAAAAAAGTGAGGCAGTATACAAAATTCACAATTAATAAGTAGTTGTTGCTTTTTATAAAATAGACTACTACCTGCAATATAATTTAACTTGTTGATATACATCTTAACACCATAAATATCTGTTTATGCAAAAGTATAAATTTTGTGCACATATTACATTTATTGTAGTGATTAAAATACATACATCTTCCTACTTTGAAGTAATATTATGGTAAATTTACCATTTTAACCTGTAGACACTTGATTCAATCAGACCTTCTTGCACTAACCCAATCAAGAATTAGATTAAGACTATCTAGATAATGCACACTTATTGTAGAAGTAATGTAATGCTAATAAAATAACAGAGTTTGCTATTAGAGCTGCTCTCCATTCTCGCGTTAATCTGTGCTTGTATATTGGATGCCAAAAATGTTCCTCAACATCCTTCGTAACTATCTAATTGTTTCTCTAATATTTCACAGAATTCTGTCATTCCTTTCATAGGAGTGGGCTACTTGATATTACTCTACGCCTAACTGTTCAACCTTATTAACTAATTTGAGCATTTATCAAAGGATGCAGATCTTTTATATCTGCCAGATACTTTTAAACACATCCAATAAATCCAAGCTTAAATAATAAATATTTTATTGTTGTATCTTTGAATATTAATTTGTAATACCCTCTCTAAATCTGCTAATGTAATTCTTATTTACATATCCTAGATTTCGAGTATCTATCTTTTTGTTTTCCTTAAAGACAAAAGTGTCTAATACAGTATTATTGTATTATTTGGTTTAAAGCACTCGTAATTGTTCTCCCTACAAATATTTAGATTCTAATTTTATAAGAGAACTGAGTATCTACAGGATGTCTACGATACACAGCCTCAGATAAAAGCCTCTTATCTTTACTTAATTGTTGAAATTCTCTTTGAAAGAATTGTAATTTTAATGCAACCATTAATAGGTCAATATATTTTGATCTGATAGTTTATTTCCTTAAACTGTGGTAGCGATTAATCTTCCTTTTTTGATTAAGTATGTATCCATTGAGAGAATGCCTTATACTTTGCCCATTTGTTGAACTTAAGATATATTTCAATATTTAACTTGTGCTTATGTTAATTCCAGCTATTAGTATATGATGTTTAATTGATATATTTATAATTGTCCTAAAATACCTATCTTTAATTATATACCAGTTGGATGTAATAGCACATATGTTTTGTTGATCAGCTGTTAGCCAATCCACCAATGAGTCTTGTGATTTTATTAATGTTAAAGTGAGTTTTGAGTAGCAAAAACTCACTTTAACATTAATTGATATGGTGGTGCAGAAGATTATTTTTCAACCTAAGAATTTGTTATTATGTGAAAAACATATAACAATTTTGAATACTGTTAGGAGTTTCATTGGAGTATATGCTGACATAGGAATCATTCGGTTTGCAAAAGCATTACTATTTCGTTTAAGAAGTATGATTCACCTTTTAAGAAGCACTAAAATGTTGTCAATGATGATTTTATGAAGCACATTATCATCCATCTATATCGAATATTGTATATTATTATTTAATTTAAAAATTCATGGTTATTTTTACTTTAACTATGCAATGTGCATACCATTATGTAAATTAAACCCTTATTATATCGTTTTATTCATTTGCAATTGTTTCTTGACTTACAAATGAGGATTCAAATTAAACCATTTCTTCTTTTCAATCATTTCCTATTTATCTGGAGAGTTTGAACATTGAGTTTCTCCTTTAATGATTTCATCATCATGTTTGCGCTTTATTAGATGTGGTAGATTTATAATTAGGAGTTGCTAAGAGTGTAATGGCCTAGAAGATATCATTCTTAAATAGTTATGTGTAATCAAAGAGAATTTAAATAATGTCTTTGTTAATATGGAACAATTATGATAATAATAGCTGGCCATAATTTTATGAACATAAACCAATTTTTTATTATTTTTTAAAGCCATGATATACTACAAAATGATTTCTTCATTTAATTTGAATGTTTAAGACATATAGACACGCAGAGCCTTTAAATCTTCTGAAAAATAACCTAAAGTATTCACATTTAGTAAACTAGCAATATCTTGATGTCTTCTTGGATTGACTTTGCTAACCATTAATCCATGGCTAAGGATGTATTAATATTCTTCATTCAGCCACAAGCAAATCATCCAAATTCTTAAACTTCAGTAAGGATGAGATATTGCCACACCAGTCCTTTTTTAAATATGGAGTTTACTTCTCAATTTTTTTGGATCATTTATATTTTTGGTCCTCAAGCTTCAGATTTATAATTATTACTTTCTACCATTTGGTTTATTGTTTATTGTGTTTGCTTTCTATTAGTATGGAAGGAAATAATCAAAATCTTTAAGGACTTTCTTTGAATGGATAAAAATATATTAAAAGAATATTGTAAACTACTTTGAAAGTAAAATCTAATTATGATTTAGCAATTTTGAATAACGTTGATTTAGTAAGAATTATTTAGAATACTTTTTTCTAGGTTAAGGAATTCTCAATTCTTAAAATTATTGGTATAATAATAACACGCCTTAGCAAGGAATATTGAATACGAATGATTTAAATGATTAGATCTGAAAATTTATATCGAAGATAAAGAAAAATTGAATGGTAATCTTTGGAATTTAATTTTTGCTTTAATTCAAAAACAAACTCTTGTTTAGCTTTTCAGCACATTAATTTAAGGACAAGGGTGAAGTGGCAGATTTTGAAGTTAATGAATAGTATTAATAATATCTAAACTAAAATTGTATATTGATTAACTATATTCCAATTATTATTCTTACAAAATGCTCGAAAGTTCTTACCCGGCGACCGAGATGTAGTCC